CGACGCCTTCAGACAAAAAAATCAGTGTGACGTTTTTTTGAACTCTGTGACCATTACTGGTAATTTATTGCCAAGTTTTCACGCATCGCATAACCATTGACACAGCTTACTCGGGAAAATATCCCCTTCACCTGGGGCGAAGACCAGCAGCAGGCATTTCACGAGCTTCGTCAGCGCATGTAAACCCCGCCCGTGCTCGCCAACTTCGATGAAGATGCGCCAACAATACTACATACAGACGCAAGTAATGTGGGTCTTGGAGCAGTCGAAGGACAACAAGGAAAAGGGGATCGCCTACGCCAATAGGACGCTGTCCCGATCAGAAGCTAACCATACTACGACGGAAAAAGAATGTCTTGCATTGGTGTGGGCAGTCCTGAAGCTTCGTACTCATTCGTACGGCCGCCTATACACCATTATCAGTGATCACCACTAGCTCTGTTGGTTAATAAAACTTGAAAGATCCATCTGGCTGTCTTGCACGCTGGATTGTTCGACTCCAATTGATTTCACTGTTACCTACAAGTCGGGAAATTGACACACCGATGCCGACTGTCGTTCTTGATCTCCCGTTGAGAGGGCATCGCCAGATGATGACGACGACACGGCTTTTTTGGGAATTGTGGACACTGCCGCCTTTTCTCAACAGCAGCGTGACGACCCTGTACTGAAACCACTCATAAATTACCTACAAGAGCGAAAGAATAGCGTGCCGAAGTTGTTTTCGAGAGGGCTGCCGTCGCCCTGCTAGCGGAATGACGTTCTTTATAAGTAGAACTTTTCATTCACCAGCAGCAGCTACTTGCTCGTCGTTCCTTCTTCGCTTCACCATAATGTACTGCAAGCCTGCCACGACTAACCTACCGCTGGTCACTTGGGTTACGCCAGAACATTGGCGAGAATAAGGCAAAACTATTACTGGCCAAGACTTACTGGAGTTGTCAAAACTTACGTGCAGGCATTTCTAGATTTCCAGCATCGCAAGCCACCATCCATCAAACCAGCCGGCCTGCTGCAGCCTGTCTGAGTGCTGGCGGCACCATTTACACAAATTAGCATCGATTTTCTGGGCCCCCTCCCAAAGTCTGCCACTGGAAACAGGTGGATAATGGTCGCCACAAATTATCTGACCCGATACACGGAGACAGGTGCTCTGCCACGCGCAACGGCAGCTGAAGCGGCACAATTTTTCATCGAAGCCATCGTTTTAGGACATGGTCATTCCTCAATAGTCATCACCGACAGAGGTACTGCGTTCATAACCGAGCTTTTGGACACCGTTTTCTGAGTAAGTGGTACAGCTCACGGGAAGACAACGGCGTATCATCCCCAGACCAACGGGCTCACCGAACGTCTCAACAAAACCCTGGCTTACATGATAAGCATGTACGTAGATGTAGAGCACAAGAACTGGGACGACATATTGCCCTACGTCACTTTCGCGAACAACACAGCTCGTCAGGAGACCACTCAGAAGACACCCTTCAGTCTTCCATACGGACGCGAAGTTACGACAACGTTAGATGCGATGCTCTCATGAAAATGATGGCAATGGGATGGACGCTGAAGAGTTGACCGAGCGAACAAAGGAAGCCAAACAACTTGCCAGGTTGCGAATCACCAAACAACAAGCCGATGACGCCAAACATTACAACATCTGGTACAGAACCGTCATATACAACGTGGGTGACAAAGTGTGGGTCTGGACACCTATTCGTTAGCGTGGGCTCTCCGAAAAGCTGTTGCGAAGGTACTTTGAACCCTACAAGGTTCTGCGACGCATCAGTGACGTCTACTACGAGGTTGTTCCGGACGGCGTTCAGTGTTCGAAGCGCCGCAGACACTCACCAGAGATTATCCACGTGCTTCGAATGAAGCCTTACTTTCAGTGACTAACTGTGCAGTTTTGGTTTTGCCTTGCTTCTCGAAGTTTTAACATCGGGGCACGTTTTTTTAAAGCGGGAATAATGACGCGCGTATGTGCCAGTGGCGGCGACAACGAAGCAGCGCGAGTGTCCTTGGCCGAGGGCAGAGACGAAGAAGACGTTGCAGTCTTTTTCCTGTGATAGATAATGCGTATTTGTTTGAGGTGCTTTGTGTGCCTAGTCGATCCCGCGTCGTCACAATATACGGTGCATGACATCCACGCCGACGCCGGCGGCAAAATTCAGCTGAGAGTGTCCATATATCGCTATCGCAATAAAAATACAGCAAAGTACGTGAACGGTAACTACAAAAATTGCGACGAGTGCATTAGGTGTTTACTCTCACATAACACCCCGTGAAAATAAATAAATAAATACATTTTATGATTGTGACATAAAAAGGTGTAACAGTGCGTATAATACACATATGAGCGTTAAAAAGTGCAAGAATGCAACGGGCTTTCGACAAAACCAACAGGAGTGTCGTCGATGTACGCCTGTAGATATATTGAATAGATTTATGGGGCGCTATTGCAGCGGTTGAGCGCTTATGGTTCGCGACCGCCGAAAAGAAGGTCGAGGAATCGAATCCCGCCTCATCGGCCGCATTGCGACGGATATACAGTAATAAAGGCCCCTGTGCTCAGATTAAGGTGGACATTGAACAACTCTGGGTGGTCAAATTTGCGGATCCTTTCAGTGACGTATCTCTTATAATGATGTCGTGGTTTTGGATGTAAAACCTGAAAGAGGTAATTGTTGCTATTATTAGTTGCGAAGTATAGTGCTTGAGTGATAAGTACGGCGAAAGGTACCTAAGCGTTTCAATAGCGCTGTCGCGGACGTAATAGTTATTCCCCCATGCTACATCATCGAAGTGTTCATATCCCTTCCCTAGGGCGTGCTATATATTCATAGCGTGGCTTTGGCACGTGGAGCCGCAGATGCTCTGGTTTCTTGCTAAGACTTTATTTGCTGCAACAATCCTCGTCAAATCTCTGTGGGCTGTGTGTAGTTTTTGCACTGATCTGAATAATAATAAAAAAATTGGCAGATGCCACGTATAAAGGAGATCGCTGATATGCGAAGCCCAAGTGAGGAAGGCTGATGTGTCACTTTAAATTCGCACAACAGTACAAGGCGGAGGTAAATTATGCCGTACGTGACTTTCATGTCATGATTATCACGTTTGGAAGCGTCATTTATCTTAGTCATCTCTTCACTTCACCTGATACCAAATTTGGTATATGTGCAGCGAGCGAAACGGCCGTGAGCAAGCTATAGCGTAGCATGTAGTCATGTTTTACATGACACGAATATGATGATTATCATGATTGGCCTTCTCACATACCTTCGTCGTCCATTCACGTCCCGTAATATCAAACTTGGCATAAGTGAAGGTAGCGAAACGGCGGCGAGCGCACGTAACGTGGACGCGCGCGCACGCTGGACGCATGGACGCTACGCTAGCAAAACGCGAGCACTTTACCTGGCGCTAGGCGCGACCAGCGTCTGTCGTTGAGGCCCGGCGGCAACCGTCGCGAAATGCGACATCCTGCAGTTTGCGCCGACGACGTTACCTGAACAACACCGCGCCTGCTTAGCTTCGTGACGGAAATACGCCGGGCGCGCTCAAACGCGCATGCGTCAAAGCAACGCAGCGCGACGTGCGCCTGCGAGTATATGCCAGGCAGATCGGCGCCTGGCGTGGCATCGCCGTCGTGATGCGACGAAACGAACGCCAGCGCGCACGCACGCCTGCTCACGTCGAAGTGTGTTGGTGCCTTGAGTGTGGCATGTAGTCATGTACTTACATGACATGCATCTCATGATTTGATGTTTGCACCAGTCAAATACTTCGCCATCCATTCACGTGACGTAATACCAAATTTGGCATATGGGAAGCTAGCGAAACGGCCGCGAGTTCATCATGACTGTGGCTGTGGTCATGTTGTTACATGATAAGCATGTCATGATTTTCTTGTTTGGACGTGTCATTTACATATGTCATCTGTTCTCGTCACGTAATATAGAATTTGGTATATGTGAAGCTTGTGAAATGGCCACGAGCGCATCGTAAGTTTGGCATGTAGTCATGTTGTTACATGACACGCGTCTCATGATTATCATGTTGGCACCAGTCACATACCGTCGTCATCCATTCACGCCACGTAACACCCAATGTAGTAAATGTGAAGCTGTATTGAGAGGGCTGCGAGTGCCTCATGAGCATGGCATGTAGTCATGCTCTAACATGACACGCACCTCATGATTATCATGTTTGCACCAGTCACACACCTTCATCATCCATTCACGTCCCGTAAACACCAAATTTGGCATATCTAAAGCCAGCGAAACGACTGCGAGCATACCATGAGCGTGTCGCGTTGTCATGACTAATGAGTCATGATTGACATGACATACTTGTCATGATTTCCATGTTAGAGTTTGTCGGTTGTTTTCGTCATGCAGTCATGTAATACCATGCCAACTTTGCAACATGTCACGTGAACAAAACCACCGCCAGAGCAGCATGACCATAAATTGTAAATAATGACATTCATGACATATATGCAATGATAGTCAAGATATGACTAGTTAAATACGCTCGCCATACGTTCATGTTATGCCATACCAAATTTGGTAGTGATACCATTAACGAAACGGCCGAGAGAGCTAAAAGTCGTAAGTGGCTAGATAGATAGATAGATAGATAGATACGCTTTAAGTCGCTGAAGTTCACTAAGAAATGCTTCGCATTTAATACTTACTAGCCCAATCTTACAGTTTGATTCAGTAAATCTCACTCAATTAGGCATTAAAGAAGGGCTCGAAAGGGTTAATTGTACGGACGCACAGGTTCCTTTTCTAGCGGTGCGGTTGAAGTGAGGTGTCCATCATGAAACGATTTATAAAAGGGATTCGAAATGGAAATGAATAAACTACTTGATTCTCCTTTTTAAGGCAAAGCTGAAGCGATCTCCCAAGCTTTTGGCAAAGTGTTCCCCAGGCAAGAATAACCAGCATCTCCCTTCTTTTGTTTACACGGCATGCTCGGTGCCTATGATGCCTCACCTTTCAGTGCCGCGGGATTCGCTCGTGTCTTTTGAAGCTTCAGGACGACACGCTTCCGGCCGTTCGCTGTTGTTGGTGCTGCTGCTGCTGCTGCCGGTATACAAAGTATCCTCTTCCTGTGCAATACTCATCCTGGGTATCAAAGCAGAAAGACAGTCGGTTAAGACAGTGTGCGATATGAGTCATTAGGCAAGCCAACTACTGATGCAGTCATACGTGATCATGCAAAAAATTTCTCGAAAGCTAGTTTGCGCACGGCCAAGGCACTTGATTGGAAGATACTATTGATAAACTGTAGCTGCGTAGACAATCTGTCGAATTAATGTTGACGAGTTTACTAAGTTCATAGTTAATAATCAAATAGGCCGTAAACAAAGACAGAAAGAAAGGGGATTCAGTTACGCGGCGTTATGCGTGTAGCGGAACACTAGCCGCCACGATGGTGGTGGTACTCGGCTGCTGACCCATAAGTCGCGAGTAGAATACCAGCAGCGGTGGTCTCATTTTGATGGAGCTAAAACTCTAGAGAGGCACATATGCTTCGATTTTTGTGCCCATTACAAGAGAGTTTTAGTTTGGCGCGCGAAACCGGCTAGCGTACGCAACGCGCTAGAGGAAGCAAGAATGCGCATGCGCTTAACCTAACTGAGACGCGTGCTTTTGCGCACGCAGGTGATGCACTTGCTAGATGTAGGCGCTTACGTTGCACCAGGTACGGCCGTTGCGTATCTTAGCGGCGGCTCTCACGAGATATCGAACAGCCGAGACCAAAACAAGATGGCCGCGACCGACAACACTTCGGTGGTCGTGACGAAAGAAATACGTGTGATTTGCGGTGCATTTGGAACTTAAATAATTAACCTGGTGTCAATAGGTGAACAGGTACAGTGTATTCGAGTCGCTGTTAAGCTGGAGGGCAACGTTGTACTGCTGGACCACATCATTTACGGAGAAGCAGGAACCCGTCTCCGACGTGAAGCACCGCGACGGATTTCTGGGTTGTGTACGGGGCATCGTGTGTGTGATCCCTTTGAAATGTGGTGGTTCCTGTGTGTGTCTAACCAAAAAAATGTTTGAATGATCTTCTGTAAAAGCATTGCAGTGAAGGTGAGTGAAATAAAGGTTAGTTATGGTCATGCATTTAGCGTGCATGTAGATGGACGTCCGTGTTCTACGAAGCTAAAGAGATTTTTCTAGCACACGGTTCATTCTGAAAGCAGCTATCACGACGTGAAGAATGACACGTGAAGACACCGTGTCAAATTAAAGGTTCAATTGGCAGTGAGCGATTGTCTTCGCCGTCTTTGTCCGTCATGCTGCTAGTTCACCTAGCATCAGCACCCAAAACCGCTACTCGTCCTAGGAAATGATCGCCTTGTCTCATGCCCTGTCTTGTGTGTTGCGTTGACGAACCTCGGTTCTGGCTAGAAGTAACACTCAAAGGCAGGCGTGTTGACGATCAGGAGCAGTACACGTTTCAGATGTTGCGCACGAAAAACTATTGCTGTAGGACGCAGCCCTAAACCCAGTTTTCGTAGGGCGCAGCTCGTTGCGGACGTGCAGCTTTGCGTGAATAATAATAATAATAATAATAATAATAATAATAATAATAATAATAATAATAATAATAATAATAATAATAATAATAATAATAATAATAATAATAATAATAATAATAATAATAATAATAATAATAATAATAATAATAATAATAATAATACTATTAATAATAATAATCAGCCTGACGGCGCCCTCTATACAAGGCAAAAGCCCCTCTCATGATCAGCCAATCAATCCAGTCCCTTGCTTTCTTCTTCCAAGTTATACCTGCGAACTTTTAATCTCATCGGCCCACCTAACTTTGACATCTCTTCGTTCGTTTTCCTTTTCTGGAAATTGTCTAATGGCCTTCATGTATAAGTTCAAACGTTTCATTCTGCAGTGAGGCCGGGATGACGAAGTGATTACCCTCTGGAAGGACGCCGCTGGCGATATCTCCCTGATGGTCAGTATTTAATGTGATCTGGAAGCCGGTCTCCACGAGGCCAGATCAGGATGCAGTACTTTACGAGCCATACTCATTCTCCGTCCTGTTCTTGGTGCCAGCGGGCATCGTCTGCAGTAACCAGCTTCGTGTCAGTGAAAATTTCAACTTGCAAATCTACAAACTCCTTTACCACATCCACCGGACTGATCAATAGTTTCTCGGTCGGAGCCCTTCAAAGTGTATCGGCCGTGGATAGCTGTTTGCCCGGAACGTGGACCAAGTTGAATTGGTAGCGCATAAGTTTGATGCGGAACCTCTGAATACGCGGAGCCGTCGTGTACAGTTGGCATCTTTAAGTCATGTCAACAGCGGCTGATGATCGACTTCCACTGTGCACTTGAGGCCCCGCACCCACTGGTCGAAACAGTGCATGGCCAATGGTACCGCCAACGCTTCTTTTTCTCTTTGGCTGTAGCGCTTCTCTCCGCGTCACTTAGTGATCGTGATCCAAAGTCTGCCGCGCGTTCTTCTCCCGATGGATGTTCATACAGAAAGAAGAGTTCCCTATTCAAATGAGCTTGCGTCACATGGTACTATGGTATTGCGACTGAAATGATACTTCGCAACGCAGAGGTCCGGCGTGGAAATCACCTTGATCCGATTAAAATCGGTCTATTGAAGCGGTACCATGCACTCCCTTGTATTCCGCTCACCTAGCAAGGCGGGGATAGGGGCAGTTGCCTTTCGAAGGTTGGGAAAGAAGCGACTAATGCAATCAGCCATAACCAGGAGGGGTTTAACACTAGCGACTTTCTTGGGTGGCTCTTATAGTTGCGTAGGGCTTAAAGTTTGCTGGGGCTTGGCGAGATACCGTTGGCGTCGATGACCATAGCCACAATTCAATCTCTATACCGTGGCTTGACAAAGGAACACTTCTTGTTCAGGTTTACCCCGGCTCTCTTCAGACGTTCGCGAATAGCCACAAGTAGTTTGTTGCGCCTAAGTAACGATCATTTCCAAAAAGCAGGGTGTCGTCTATTAGGTTGACACGTTCGCTTGCCTTTTAGAATTCGAGCCAAGGTTGCCCCTTTAGAATGCGAGCCATTTCTCGTTTAAACTACTCCGGTCTTGAGGTCACGCCTAAAGGTAGACGACATTAGCAGTATCGTTCGAATGACATGATTATTGTGGTGTACCCTCGGCATTCTTGGAATGATTCCACTAGGTGAAATCCTGTTGTCACTTCTAGTTTTTAGAACACCTTTACGTCTCTACACACAAAGTTGTCCGAGAACCCTTGCGACCGTTGGAGGCAGAACTTTTTTGTAGAGCTTCAAGTTCACGCATATTTGGATGCCGCCTGCTGTTTTCGGACCGGGACACCACAGAGTTGACTTCGTAATGCGCTTGATGACATCTTCTTTTTAATATGGTTCAAATTTGCTTCACTTCGTCGCACAGAGCAGTTGGAGTGCTACGAGGTACACTGAGAGCAATTGCTTGACATTTCGCTTGAGAATACGTTTGAGATAAAAAGTGTACTCCTGCCCTACGGTACCAAGTCCATTAAAGATGTCCTGGCTAAGAGTGGCATCGCTGGCAGGGTCAGTTGACTTGTCAGGTTGCCGTGCGGCGTCGATGAATTTCACGACTACCAAGGTGAGTATAGCAGGGAAGCCTAGCAGGAGCGTAGACTGCGAAGACATGACATACACTGACTGTACGCAGGTGCGACTTTTCCAGTCTTACGTAGCTTTGAATTGGCCAGCCATAATTTAAGGATAATTTGTTGGACCTGTGAGAAGACCATCTGGTTAGTCGAGTTGAGACGGTACACCCGAGAAAGTGATCGCGACCACAATAACTTTCGCTCCTGAGTCAACCTTAACCTTCAGTAGGATGCTGTCGACGGGCTCCAAAAATGAACTTCGCGTTTGCTTCATAACTGGTCTTGACAGCATGCGTCTCTATAGGCACCGTTCAGTCGAGTTTTCAAGTGCGACTGCAGCGCCAGAGTAGTTTACCTAGCGGATGAAAAAAGCACCCTTGAGACGGCGTCGGTGAAAATGGAACGCGACGCGCGCATCTAGCGCCCTGCATCTGTCGGCGGATTGTTGCCGGCATACATAGGGCACAGAGATTCTTACATTTACACCTAGAGGTAATTATGGCGACAGTGAGCTGCTTGATGCAGGGGAATGACGGAATACGTGAGCTTCGAACTTGGCTCTGATTTGTATACCTCAACGACGCGTCAGGCTTCACGTTAAAATGATTGATTTCTCACTAAAAGGGCACGTAATAAGCTATTTATTTTTGTCATTACACAGAAACGTGTTGTATTTAAATATAAAACCTTCTACGTTGATGTACAATTTTACGAAGCGTAGGAAGTAACCAACGACCACTAAACTCGGTAGGCAGACGACAAAGTGAGCGTTCTTTCCGCCACGTTTATGTCGTCTGTTCATATCCTTCGCCGTTTCATTGGGCCGTAAAGGTGAGTGGAGCTTTATTTTAGAATGTAATACGCGTGGATGAGATCCATTTATAAACGTTTCGTTTTAGAGAAGCTTTGTTTACGCAGTCGTACTCGCTTTTGAGCCGACGCCGTGCTCAACACCAGCCAACACTGGCCTCGCAGACTCAGCGTTCCAACATCGCTCCTTAAGAAATTCGCATAGACGGTGGTGCCACGCTTGCCTCTAGGTATTTGTGAGAAACTCTATAACACGAGGGATGCGCGCACGCGTCTATTTTCTGCATGCTCCTAACGGCAAATGTCGAAGACTTTGCGACGAGGCAGTGTGAGCACTGCAGCTCCCTATGGTAAGTGGGCGGTGCCTATGGCATGTGACTGTCGGTGGAGCAAACGCTGCTTGGCTAAGCAAATCGCTTCGAAGTGTCCTTTTCTTTTGTAGAAATTGCAAACCGCTTTCCTGGCAGAACGAAATTCCCGTTGATAAGCTTCTCGTCTCTATAGAAGCCACTATTCATGCGTAGCCTTGGAGAAGAGGTTCTTTCCATATATGATAATGCTCACCTACGTGACTGTCTTTTCGCAGGCGTCCGCTTCGCTGCATCCACGGTGACGGGCCCAGATGACTAGCTTGAGCGTTACTGTTTTTCTCTTTCGGCGTCCTA